TATTCTTTATTAACTATTTTACCTTACAATTTCGCAATAAATGACGGGTTCGATATAGGGAGATGGTGAGTATCTCCATACTACCCTGTTGCATTCTGATTTATAAACAAATGTACTTTGAAAGCTACCAACAAGACAAAAACATGAATACAAAAAGCTGTAGGGACAAAACAGTAACTATGCCCATCTATCAGTCAATGTCCAGACAATACATTTACTTATCAATGGCAGGGATACAAATTATACTATGTCGATGATCACACAAAGCCATACGTCAATCAGAAACGATTTAGGATACTGGGTAGGAGTAAGGTCTACATAAGATAGAATCGAAATATTATTCCTTGTACTAATACGGCATTTACAAGGTATCACCATGTGACGTCATATTTGTATTTATTTAATCAAGTTTCAGGGCAAGATCGGTATCAAGTTCTCATGATCAAGTTTAATTTCGGTGGCTGATTTGTGCCATTCCGTTCTATTCAGGACGAAAAGACGAGAGTGAAGGTTGTCCATTCTGGTCCTTTCAGGACGAAAAGGCGAGAATGAAGGTTTGTTCAATTTGGCTTTTTCAAAGCAAAAAGACGAAACAACGAAACGGCACAAATCAGCCATTGTACCACTTCGATATTTGATATGTTCATACAGCTATCTCAATTACCTCCTAACTCCCCAAAGTGTTCTACAGCGAATCACAACAATTTCACAGTAACAGGTGCGAGGTAAAGTATCGAGAGAAAATTTATATTTACGATTTGGTACAAGATAGTACCTTATACCATATGAATCCTAGATTCTTTTTAATTATCTATAGACTCAGGAAAGCATTAACATGCCATAGAGCTATGTTGACGTTGTCTAATTACAAATCGTTTTGGATTTGTGCGAACCATCGAAGGTCAACTCAGAAGTTCTTAGCGGGGCTATGATTGGTTCTCTACATGATATTGTCATGCATTTCGTAGTAGAAAGCAAAGGAAAATATTGTAAAAGATTCAAACGTTTCAGAGACTTCTCCAAAATAAATGTATATTAATGTTACTACTCGGAGATATCTGAAAAAGAAATAGATACTTGATAACGATTCTTTTAAAAGTGATAGAGAACATACATCTTGTAAATGATACCGCTGTTACCTACCTTGTTCTTGAATCTCTCCTCTTTTCTACGTCAGTTTTGATGACAATATCTTCTTTTCTTGTGTCCTCTTAATGCTGATGCATGTAGATAACACTTAAACAGACGAGACAAATCAGTTCCAAGTGACGTGTTTTCTGAAACAGATAATCACCTTCCGTGTCAGTTATATAAAGACACGCGTTGCTAAGAGACTGTCAGTTTTGTTCGAACGCCACACAAAATGACGATTTCGCGTTCAAGTTTTCATCAGAGATAAAGAAATATAAAGAAAAACAATTTCTATTTCTATTTCTGTCACATCTTGGAATTGCGGTGGATAGCTGATGATACTCAGACGACAAATTTGATGACAATATATATGCTATTTATAGCATGTCATTACTTGTTTAGTGGAGAAATAAACCCAATGATTATGACCTGGAGAATGACTCTGAGTACCGACATACGAGATCTGATAAATATCAGACATCACAAAACGATTTCCATTTTAGATATGTCATGATTAAAACATCAAACAGAGGGTAACAAAAATAACTGACTTATTAGAGGTAGTTTGAAACAATATCTATTCGTCATACTTGTGTTTTTTTCAAATAGTCTTTCATTCTTTTGCTTTCACGATTCTGATTTTCCAGTTTGCTTTATTTTTCCTCCCTGACATGTCATGTTGGTTGTGGTTGGTATATTTCAAGATCGAATGCTTCCTTTATTACCGTAAACTTCGTTTTTTAACAACAGAAAATACTTATCATCATGTTGTAAATAAAGATAATTTTGTTAGTTTGTTATAAATACGTATCATTTATGTTACCTGTGTAAATACAGACACTTTTGTTACCTGTGTAAATACAGATACTTTTGTTACCTGTGTAAATACAAACACTTTTGTTACCTGTGTAAATACAGATACTTTTGTTACGTGTAAATACAGACACTTTTGTTACCTGTGTAAATACAGACACGTTTGTTACCTGTGTAAATACAGATACTTTTGATACCTATGTAAATACAGATACTTTTGTTACCTGTGTAAATACAGATCATTTTTGTTACCTGTGTAAATACAGATACTTTTGTTACCTGTGTAAATACAGATACTTTTGTTACCTGTGTAAATACAGATACTTTTGTTACCTGTGTAAATACAGATACTTTTGTTACCTGTGTAAATACAGACACTTTTGTTACCTGTGTAAATACAGATACTTTTGTTACATGTGTAAATACAGATATTTTTGTTACCTGTGTAAATACATATACTTTTATTACCTGTGTAAATACAAACACTTTTGTTACCTGTGTACAGATACTTTTGTTACCTGTGTAAATACAGATACCTTTGTTACCTGTGTAAATACAGATCATTTTTAACCTGTTACAAACACTTTTGTTACCTGTGTAAATACAGATACTTTTGTTACCTGTGTTAAAATACAAACACTTTTGTTACCTGTGTAAATACAGATACTTTTGTTACGTGTAAATACAGACACTTTTGTTACCTGTGTAAATACAGACACGTTTGTTACCTGTGTAAATACAGATACTTTTGATACCTATGTAAATACAGATACTTTTGTTACCTGTGTAAATACAGATCATTTTTGTTACCTGTGTAAATACAGATACTTTTGTTACCTGTGTAAATACAGATACTTTTGTTACCTGTGTAAATACAGATACTTTTGTTACCTGTGTAAATACAGATACTTTTGTTACCTGTGTAAATACAGACACTTTTGTTACCTGTGTAAATACAGATACTTTTGTTACATGTGTAAATACAGATATTTTTGTTACCTGTGTAAATACATATACTTTTATTACCTGTGTAAATACAAACACTTTTGTTACCTGTGTAAATACAGATACTTTTGTTACCTGTGTAAATACAGATACCTTTGTTACCTGTGTAAATACAGATCATTTGTTAACCTGCGTAAATACAAACACTTTTGTTACCTGTGTAAATACAGATACTTTTGTTACCTGTGCAAATACAGATACTTTTGTTACCTGTGTAAATACAAACACTTTTGTTACCTGTGTGAATACAGATACTTTTGTTACCTGTGCAAATACAAACACGTTTGTTACCTGTATAAATACAAACACGTTTGTTACCTGTGTAAATACAGACACTTTTGTTACCTGTGTAAATACAGATACTTTTGTTACCTGTGTAAATACAAACACTTTTGTTACCTGTGTAAATACAGATACTTTTATCAAACTGCGTAAATACAGATCATTTGGTAACCTTTGTAAATACAAATACTTTTATTAACCTGTATAAACACTTATCATTTGGTAACCTTTGTAAATACAGATACTTTTATCAAACTGTATAAACACTTATCATTTGGTAACCTTTGTAAATACAGATACTTTTATTAAACTGTATAAACACTTATCATTAGTTAACCTGTGTAAATACAGATACTTTTTGTTACCTGTGCAAATACAAACACGTTTGTTACCTGTATAAATACAAACACGTTTGTTACCTGTATAAATACAAACACGTTTGTTACCTGTATAAATACAAACACGTTTGTTAACTGTCTAAATACAAACACGTTTGTTACCTGTGTAAATTAAAATCATTTTGTTAACCTGCGTAAATACAGATCATTTGCTACCTGTGTAAATACAGATACCTTTGTTAACCCGTGTAAACACTGATCATTTGTTAACCTGTGTAAATACATATACTTTTATTAACCTGTATGAACACTGATCATTTGTTAACCTGTGTAAATACAGATACCTTCGTTAACACGAGTAAACACAGATCATTTGTTAACCTTTGTAAATACAGATCAATTTTGTTAACCTATTATAGATGTAGATTTTTTTCAGCCTGTTGTAAATGCGGATCAGTTTGGTTAACCTGTTGTGAATAAGTCAACTTGTAAACTTATCCATTGTTGTCAATTTTAAAACGCGATCCTTGTTTTAATTTGTTGTAAATACAGACAGACGGTTTTCATATTCAGAACATTACATTACTTTGATTGAAATTGATAAAGAATACACTTCCAGCATTCTTCCGGAAAACCTTTCCCAGGGTTTCTGTGTAAATATTTTATTTGTTACACATTTTGTTTTCATTTGAATTTGAATTACACCTATCTGTATTGTCATTACAGCTGTTTTTCTAACGATATCTGCATGAAATATTAGATCTTACTGGAAACACATGATCAGTATAACGTCCGGTCATGAACTAAAATCTGGATCCGACTGACTGTCAAATGGTCACGGACACCGCTGTTTTATCGATTACATCGACAGTTGAGTGGTTAGAACACAGATGTTTGTCTTGTTATTGCATACTTGTGCCTTGTATATGGTAAAGTGATAAGAATATTGACCATGCCTCGTCTTATACCTCCTGTCGGATATTTCTGTAGGATGTAGCATCTCAAGTGGCCTCCGGTAATTGTTACAGTACACAATATTGTTATATTATTCAAAGCTACCGTCAGATTCGACGTTCGTCGCATCTTAATAGATCCTTCGCTGTGTAAAAAGGCCATAGGGCAAAACCAGTTCAAAATACCTAGATAACGATACGCATACATTTGTGATTTGCCTTAAATGACAAAAAAGTATTTGCTATACCATATTATACCAAACAAAAGCCAATGGCAAACGCAATAGTCAGATGAGCAATAAGGAAACATTCATTTTAAGGACATTACGTCTCCGATTATGTATTTCTTCAAGTTCATACAACAGCGGAAAAAGTTTGACGACATACAAATCAATAAAATGATCATTTGTTGGTTATCCAACAGTTTTATATAAAGAGGCCAAACACATATATAAAGATAGAGATACCTAACAGATAGGTTAGGGATAGAGACAACATTCAGATAGGCGAGGACAGAGACGGTAAACAGATAGGTGAAGATAGAGACAACATTCAGATAGGCGAGGACACAGACGGTAAACCGATAGGTGAGGATAGAGACGGTAAACAGATAGGCGAGGATAGAGACGGTAAACAGATAGGCGAGGATAGAGACGGTAAACAGATAGGTGAGGATAGAGACGATAAACATATAGGCGAAAACACAGACGGTAAACAGATAGGCGAGGATAGAGACGGTAAACAGATAGGTGAGGATAGAAATGGTAAACAGATAGGTGAGGATAGAGACGGAAAACAGATAGGTGAGGATACAGACGGTAAACAGATAGGCGAGAACACAGACGTTAAACAGATAGACGAGGATAGAGACGGTAAACAGATAAGTGAGGATAGAGACGGTAAACAGATAGGTGAGGATAGAGACGGTAAACAGATAGGTGAGGATAGAGACGGAAAACAGATAGGTGAGGATAGAAATGGTAAACAGATAGGTGAGGATAGAGACGAAAAACAGATAGGTGAGGATAGAGACGGTAAACAGATAGACGAGGATACAGACGGTAAACAGATAGGTGAGGATAGAGGTGGTAAACAGATAGGCGAGGATAGAGACGGTAAACAGATAGGTCAGGATAAAGACGGTAAACAGATAGGTGAGGATAGAGACGGTAAACAGATAGGTGAGGATAGAGACGATAAACATATAGGCGAAAACACAGACGGTAAACAGATAGGCGAGGATAGAGACGGTAAACAGATAGGTGAGGATAGAAATGGTAAACAGATAGGTGAGGATAGAGACGGAAAACAGATAGGTGAGGATACAGACGGTAAACAGATAGGCGAGAACACAGACGTTAAACAGATAGACGAGGATAGAGACGGTAAACAGATAAGTGAGGATAGAGACGGTAAACAGATAGGTGAGGATAGAGACGGTAAACAGATAGGTGAGGATAGAGACGGAAAACAGATAGGTGAGGATAGAAATGGTAAACAGATAGGTGAGGATAGAGACGAAAAACAGATAGGTGAGGATAGAGACGGTAAACAGATAGACGAGGATACAGACGGTAAACAGATAGGTGAGGATAGAGACGGTAAACAGATAGGTGAGGATAGAGACGGTAAACAGATAGGCGAGAATAGAGACGGTAAACAGATAGGTGAGGATAGAGATGGTAAACAGATAGGCGAGGATAGAGACGGTAAACAGATAGGTCAGGATAAAGACGGTAAACATATAGGTGAGGATAGAGACGGTTAACAGATAGGTGAGGATAGAGACGGTAAACAGATAGGCGAGAATAGAGACGGTAAAAAGATAGGTGAGGATAGAGGTGGTAAACAGATAGGCGAGGATAGAGACGGTAAACAGATAGGTCAGGATAAAGACGGTAAACAGATAGGTGAGGATAGAGACGGTAAACAGATAGGTGAGGATAGAGACGGTAAACAGATAGATGAGGATAGAGACGGTAAACAGATAGGTGAGGATAGAGACGGTAAACAGATAGGTGATGATAGAGACGGTAAACAGATAGGTGAGGAAAGAGACGGGAAACAGATAGGCGAGAACACAGACGTTAAACAGTTAGGTCAGAATAGAGACGGTAAACAGATAGGTGAGGATAGAGACAACATTCAGATAGGCAAGGACACAGAAAGTAAACAAATAGGTTAGGAAAAAACGGTAAACAGATAGGTGAGGATAGAGACGGTAAACAGATAGGTGAGGATAGAGACGGTTAACAGATAGGTGAGGATAGAGACGATATAATAGGTGAGGATACACATATCATATAAATAGGTGTGGATAGACACATCCTACAAATAGGTGTGGATAGAGATATCATACAAATAGGTGTGGATAGACACATCCTACAAATAGGTGATGATAGACACATCCTACAAATAGGTGATGATAGACACATCCTACAAATAGGTGATGACAGACACATCATACAAATAGGTGTGGATAGACACATCCTATAAATAGATGTGGATAGACACATCCTACAAAAAGGTGTGGATAGAGATAATGGGAGATTGGTGAGAGACGTCAAAGAAATAGATGTATTAAACTAATATATTAATTCAGAAGAAAGTGTTATAACAAACTGGCCTTATTTTACATTGAATTTAGCATTACGTCTGTATAGAGTATAAAAGCATTGTATAAAACAGTAGAATAACTAAGATATAAAGTGTAACAAACTGGCGTTATATTTATATAAATTAAACTGATAATGATAATTTAACTCATCATATAAATGTTATTATATCAATTCCGCGATATTCTCATATTTTTTTCATTTCTGAGATATTAAATTTTAAATGGAAATTACAGCACATTTCATATTTATAAGGTGTTCAGTTGACAATTCACTTCATGATTTTGCAGAATACGTCTAACGTATTGTATCTAAAGAACGATAACTCGTGTAGGTTTTTCCTGATTTGTGTTAAGTATATTGCTACAATATACGCACCATATGTCTTTATTGTAATCCGTAAACATACTTATAAATCGTCAATTGAAAAAAATGGAAATTCTCACTAAAGTCTTTGAGTGCGATTAACGATCAAGCCAGTTTTTAGTTTCTCCAAAAATATTTGACAAGTAGAAATGAATTTGACGCAAATAGGCAGATAGAGGTCGTAATAGGTTTTATTAGCTATAGGCAAAACGGCTACCGAAGTTTATCTGTCAAAGATTTCCTGTCCTAGAGCATCGCCGGTGACTGGTAGGTTGGTGATACGGAGGGGCACGGTACTTTGGTAGCGCGTGGGTGTACTTGCAATAGTGTAATTGACGTAGACAGTTTTGAAGGCAACTCCATTGGTAACGTCAATAGAAGTAGGGTCGTACTCAACCTGAGGAGATAGAAAAAACACAATCCAGTCAACTTTTTATATTATGTTAGATCTATCATTCATTTTGCATATATATATTTATTATCTGTAACTATTCAGAATTAATATCCAGAATGTAGCTGATATTTTCTATACGCCCGTCGAAGGCGAATTGTATTACACTGGCCACACGAGGTAGTTTTCAACGGATCAACTTCACACTTCAAAGAGACGTTCAATACCATGATACCGTGATTTTCATTCCTTGATTCATGGAGTTATGGTCCCTTATTCAATTACCTAAATAGTGTCCGTTAGATATTGCAAGTAGTTATCAACAGATCAACTTCACTCGTCATAGGAAGATTCATTACCATAATAACTAAAATATCACAGAGTTATGGTCCTTTATTCAGTTACCGAAAGTGTATGCTCGCTATCACTTGTAGTTATTAGTACATTACCATGAAAGCTCGAACAAGTTTGATGACCACAATTTTCGGACTGAAATTTATGGAGTTATGGCCCTTTATTCACCAATTTAAAAATTAAAATTAAACTTGGTAAGCTTTATAATGAACGTGTGGTACCGTGCTTTCCTTAATGGCATTCTAAATTTACAAATTTGAGAAGTTATTGCCCTTTGATTTTTTCAATGCTCTTATCTTGTTCAGATATCTCTTTCGGCATGAAACCAATTTCTTTGAAATTTAGTGATCTGAAAACCCAAACTGAAGATTGTGTTCTCCAGAAAAACATTTTGATTCAACCATATTTCAAAAAGGTATTGTTCTTTTTGCTTATCGGCATGTTTTTCTCGTCCACTAGATTTATCCAGTTTTCAGATTTAGTTTGACATGATATAGTATAAGTGGTCATTAAAACATACAGCAATGCTTTTCCTCTAGACATTTGACTAATCATAACTTATTTCCATTCATTGCTTTGGCGTGGAACGTATATTGTTCCGCCCCGTGTTCTTAATACCTTTGTTACTATGGCTTTGCTGACCGCTGTGTCGTAAAAAGTTTGCATTTTCGAAAGAAACGCTGTAGCTGCTCGCTGTCTGTGGATCTCATCTTCACCACAAACTGTAATGTATATGGGTCCCTGTATTATTCTGAACTTTGTTTAGGTGGTATGAATTATGACGGGAAAATATCAATGTTGTAAAACACATTTTTCTAATGAAGGCTTTGTACGGCCCACCTACTTTCAAGAAGGTAAACAAACAGCATAAAAGCTAAGTGATGCTCAGAGATTATTAAGATTTAGTGAATATCGATGAAGTTATGCTTTCTTTTGAGGATTATGCCAAATATATGAGAGATAAACAATCACCACGCAATATTCAACAGGACAAATTACAGCACTACAAACTCTGTACTGGTCTGTAATATCAACTAATCATGTCACTTAATAATACAAGGGGTTTCCATTGTATAACTGATTACTAAACAATGTTGATCATGTAATATCGAAATATGTACAACTATATGGACGTCGTTTTAGTATTGATTTACAAAATGACTGATTCACGTAAATGAAATCGTAATTAAAGTGTAAATAAACACGTTGTTGTTTCCCTATTTTGCATTATTGATATATTGATTCATTCCTCCCCTGTTTTACATGTTTTACAATATTTACCGTCTTTCAATATCTCGTCAGAAGTTCGAGTCGTTGCATTAACTTTGTCACAGACAGAACATACACTTCTTTTACCAAATACACCTACAATATACATACATATATATAATATAAACCTACAACACATTTATTATAGACATTATAAAACATAAATATATGTGTCTGGGGAGAGATGTGTGTCTATAATCTGTCTTAAGTCAGGAAAAGATAAGATCTTTAATATTAAGCTTATTTAAATATTTTGTTGTTCAAATTTTGTTGTAAATATGGAAAATGTATGCCCTCTAGAGGAATAATGAATATCATCGAACCATTTCTGAATATATTGATCCTTCAGTCTATTTTTCACCAATGTCTTAATTTTATCTTTAGAAAAGGAGCATGTAGAATGATAGTACCAGACATAGTTCATGTCAGTTTGGAATAGAATCTTTTTAACATTTGTGTGCCATTTAAGGGACATTTTTCCATTTTCTTGTAATGTATACATTTTCTTATAGGTAGTACTTGATATCTTATTAGCGGTAATCAACTTATGCCAGTATTGTTTAAATTCGTTTAATACTAATTATAAACCATCTGGTGTTTCTGATATCAGAACGCTATCATCAGCATATAAGATAAAGAACGGTTTGAGGTACATTTCAATCTCGTCATTACAAAGTTTGTCTACTGTTTCAAGACAAGTTACATATTCTCTTCAAGAGAAGTTTCTAAATTATTTAAACAATCAATCAAATTCAACTTATGAGGTGAAACAAATTTTATTTAAACGATTATTTATAACCGAAGTGAACACTTTATCAAGGCACGACAACAAATTGATCGCTCTATAATTATCCGGATCTTTAGGATCGCCTTTGTTTGTTTACATCCTGGTTTTATAATGCCAATCTTTTATGCATCTGGTTAATATGCTGTATTCAAAATAAGTTTAATTTTTTTAATAATTTGGGGAAAAGATATCCATGTTACATTTAAGATATTCATTTCGGATTTGATCTATACCAGATGCTTTATTGTTCTTCGTCAGTTGAAATTTCAACCTTCAAGAAATTGTCAAAAACATTATTATCAGGGTATTTCAGTTCAAGGTCGTTAACATCATAAGTAGACTTGTTCAAGTCTTTAAAGTACTGGTATAATTCATTAATACATATATCAGCATTACCCTTCTTTACAGACCCGTCACATTTATTCCAAATATTCAAGATTTTTTTAATCCATTCTAGCAGTATTTCTCAATTTATTTGACAATTCTTCCTGATAATTTCTGTAACTTTTATTAAAAGTTTTTCTGTACATTTTACTAGCTCTGTCGAGGTCAGTTTTCTTCATAAAATTATGAACTTTGTAGAATCTGGCCTTGGCTTCCGTAGAAGACCAAGGCTTATTATCACATCTCGAACTCCGTTTGCTTTAAGTATTATCGCTACCTTAAACCTGTTTAGCAGAGACCTTAAACAATTTACTAATTGAATTTACAATGTCATGAATTTCATTATTTGTTACATTGTCGTGTTGTTTATTTAATAATTAATGAAATTTATCGTTAATTCTATGTAGGTTACCTGTTTCATCATCAAGTATGTGTTTTACAAAATCTTGCTCTCTACAGTGTTTCCATTTGGTATATAGGATACCATTCACATGACAATTTCTATTATTATTACATACATCATTAAATATACAAAAGCTAAATGCTAATCCACAATGGACAAAAGATATTAATGATTTTAAAGTCAGTCATATACTGGAAATATCCGACAACAGCAATAAGTAATCAATAACGCTGACGTCACTGCATATAGTTTTATCTACCATTAGCGATGTACATATTATTTTGTTTACAAAAACAAAGCAATTTATTTCCGTAGTTATCAACTTTCGCTTTACATTGGCTAGCCCTACGCAGAAAAACATTACATAGCTTCATCTTTTCAAAATCCTAGAGATACGAGTGTAACTCTTCATCTAGATTTAATGAGTGAATAAATTTGCAATCTGGTTCTACAAAATCGTCTCTAATTTGTGTTTTAGCATAAAGATCTCCAACTATAGCGACATTATTGCCATTCTGATATAATTCTATCATTTCCCTTCCAATCCCTTTGGAAGTTTCGGGAGATGCATACTTAGTATTTTCCGAAGGTATTATATACCAGTAATAATCTTCATTACACTTCATAAGACGTTTTGAAAATTTTATCAGTAATAATATTCTGGCGAAGTTTTAGGAAAGATCAGCATTGAGTTATATACAATTACTAAAACACCAGATTTTTTTGCCTGAATTTTTTTGTCTACATTAGTTCTACATTTAGCGTAATATTCATAGTCATTTGGTAATTGTGAATGATTATCAATCTTACTACAAAAAACAAGTACATAATGTGCTAATATTAAGTTTTCTAACTCGGGTAAAAGTTTCTTTTTCAGAATTAATATCACAAACATTTAAGAAAGTAAACTTGAAAATGTTTCTCGAAAGGATAGCACAGAAGAAATACAAGTAAACAACACATTTCAATATAAATACAGAAAGAATACAGTGTTGCCAAATAATGAATTAAACTTCATCTCCTGTTGGAGCATTTACCCTAAAATTAATTTTGTACTTCTCAATATTGGATATCCTTTTAAAAATCGCCGAGCACGTCTAATTAAATTAACAAAAGTATGGTAAAACAATTTACAGGATATTTCCACTTCCAATGATAGTAGATGCAATAAAAATGATAATGTAATTTGGGCATCCTCTCTCTCTCTCTCTCTCTCTCTCTCTCTCTCTCTCTCTCTCTCTCTCTCTCTCTCTCTCTCTCTCTCTCTCTCTCTCTCTCTCTCTCTCTCTCTCTCTCTCTCTCTCTCTCTCTCTCTCTCTCTCTCTCTCTCTCTCTCTCTCTCTCTCTCTCTGTGTGTGTGTTTGTGTGTGTGTGTGTGTGTGTGTACTATGGATAATAGAGTCGTGTTAATTTCCTGATCCTGGCACCTTTAGCCATCATTTATTTACGTCAAACCTGCAAACCTTTACACTGCCTTGTACTGGGATAATAACTTTAATACATGTCACTATTTTTGGTTTAGTTAATTAACAGAGGTGGGTACTGACCTCCGTTAGCGTGTCCTAAATCGGTAAAGGCGTGTCCAATGCTGTTTCCATCATGATCTGTCTCGTGCCCAAGGTGGCTTTCGCTATCAATATCGCTCTGCGCCACCTGAGAAAGATGGTCCCCGAAGTTGTCGAGACTACTGTCGACACTGTTGCCGAAATCAATGCCACCTGAATCAGAACTATGGACATTAGCTGTCAAACCATGTCCAAGATCTGTGACCAGACTTGTCAACAGGTCCTGGAATGTCGACAAACCCTCGAGAATGTCGTTGTTGACATCGGAGACTCCGTCAATGAGGGAGTCTCCTGCGGTCTTTGCCACACTTCCGACATCTTTGATAAAGTCCGATGTTTTGTCCCCGAGAACATTAACAGCATTGTCCATACTCCCTTCAATGTCCTTTACCACTCCTGCCACTAGAATAATGGGATTCATCAAACTTGGCAAGACAGATCCCAACACACTAGCTGGCTTGGTGATATTCTCGCTAAAATTTTAATAAAGAAACTAATAATGTACAAATAGTAATTTATCCATTACTTCTTATGGTATACCATGTCTCTTTTCAGCGGTTTATAAAATTTATTCAAATAAATCAAGAAATCTTGTTTTGGTTTACAACAGTCATCTTCTGGTGGTGTAGGGTGTTAACACATCAGAACCGAACAGTATACTGAAAATCGATTGGCTCGTGCTTGGTAGTTGTAACAATGAGAATCAGTTTATGATTGGATCAACGTTGAAACAATGTATCATGGATATCATGTCTACATTGCCTGTTTCACTGGGTTATTTAATTTTGAAATAAAGCTTTCAATATTGTGCTAAATAATATTCAGGTCAGGTATTGCTCTTTTTTCAATTTGTTATTTAGTTTTATCGTTTAAAAGGCAACATAAAATTGTGTGAATGACAAAGTATCCGAGTATGTCGCACTGAAATTCATAGCACATACCGTTAATTACATGTTAAACAAAATGTCAAAGAGTAAAGAATACGCACCTCGAAATCGTGGTCTCGCAAATTGATTCGGCTGTCTACTTTATTTCCTTGCGGCTATTTTTTATTGATGCTAAACGATTTGGTATAATCAAAGACTGTTTCATATATTTCAGATTTTCATCAAACATTTTGAAAAGTAAATTACCTTATGCAAGCCGTTGAATAGCGAAGAGTTCAATTGTAGCATATGGTATCAGTAGGTGGCGCCACTTAGGCGTCATTGAGAACTCCATGACAACATCTTTCCAAATTTAGATTATTAAATTGATGTTTACCTTTATGCTTTCAAACACATATATCGTGTAAAATTAAATCAACTTGTCTTACATTTCTCTTTACATTTTAACCACGTTTATATAGAATTAAGGGATGCTAGCAAACATTGCGTATTTACAACCTGTCACATTGCTTGTAATGACAAGACCTATATTCTAGGGGAAGTCTATTACGTCATCATCAATAAATTCACAAATTATGATAGTAAGCTTCATCTAGAAACTATGAAAAGCATTCTTTTTTTTTCTAAGAAACAACTACACAAACAGCTAATATGTGCTGTAGGAGAATGCGTTTTCTGAAAAGAGTCCCTTTCAGATTCTAACGAGAACAAAACTCAAGTGATAAATAATTGGGAATAAGATCACCGAACGCCTTCAGATACTGACCTCCTGGCGCATGCGTTACACTCCTCGATAGACTGGTTAATTTTCAAATCACACTGGTGCTTCAACGAGTCCTGGATCTCAATGGTCTCGTTCAGTTTTTGTACAATCAAAAACATCAACTTCTTCCTGGCGAAAGTGTCTAAAGCTGGTGAAAAGAATCGAGACACGTCAGGTAAAGAAATTACACGGAATATAAAGTCAGTAGACAGAAAGAGAATGAACGGACACGACATTAGACCTCATCAACAATGTCGATCGGAGAGGTAGGATTTTCTTAAATCTAAATCTACGGCCATTACATTGTCTCTCATTCTGGAGACATTTGATATGGCCAAAGATAAACATCTCTGGCATGTTAAGTAATAAAACACGATTCAATATGTTACAACTGTGTTACAGAGAAGTTATTGTATACCACTGAAATGTTTGTCGCTGAAAAAATATTATCAAACTTAAATCAGACTCCACCAAAGGCATATTGAATTGTACAATATTTTAGAACGTTTACTTATTCAATAATTTCAATCTAGGGTTTTTCTGCAACCCGCTTTCAAAATAAATACAAAGGCAGGTCTGAATTATCAATTCTGTCGTTTTGATTGACTGATATGTACATTTCCCCCTTGGAATTTCCTTTTCAAGGTTGCGTCCGGGAACTATCGCGTAAAAATCAAATTTCTGTATCTAAAAATCGTTAACATTCAGACAAATCTGTATTTGTTGAGCACTGCGACATTTTTGATGTGTTCATGGAAACAAGTTCTCTTCACGTTTCATATATATTGACTGTTCAAATCGACTATAATTGTTACAAGCAGACGCTCGACGTGTCCATTATTTTCAAGGTCAAATCACTGATGAGAACTGCTGCCAATTACTTGATACGGTACTTATAAAAGTAGCTCCTGAATTTGAAATACACCGTTTTCAAATAATTTTATTACATGTCGTATCATAAATGTTACCTAATTACCGATAATGCTTCATTTTATAAACGTTGTAATTATAAACAAAAGCTAATTGAATCAATTGACCAATTAGCCTCGTTCTGCGTTTTTTTTTTTTTTTTATCATGATAACGGTCCTGACTTTTCTTTGTTTCCTGGACAACAATATAGCGAAAAGTTATATCAAGGCCAGTAATTTAGTCTATTGATCCTGATCGGTTTTACTTAACCTGGTTGCTGAAGTCGTCAAGAGTAACTTCCCCTAAAAGATGGTTTTACTTACACTTGGTGCTAAGGTGTCTTCTCACGTAGCCTGCATTTGGTATTTACTTAAGTGAAAGTAGTTTTTTCAGGCTACGTGAGACTGGATGTTGGTTTTAAACATTGGGTCTTAATTACAAGTAAGGCTTTAGTCCAATTCAGAAAAGTTTGCCTCCCTCTTTTACATCATAAAATTATACAACAATAAACTAAATACTTGTTTCATATAATCATTTTATTTTCACATATAACACATTCTAATTATTTTTGTATATTTATTTTTTGTGTGATGTCATAATTATGAATGGTTTTTTTTAATTTCAGATATTTTTCCATATAATCCTACAATTTCTAACATAACACATTTAAAACATAACCAATTCTTGAATCTAATTTAATTAACGTGGACGATAATCTTAGACATATTTTAAAGAGTTAGATTAATTTATATTGATTATAACACTAACACTAGGGGCAACACGTCTCTCCTTTCACCAAATTCCTCATCATCCTGCTTATACCTCGCAGTCAATCCTCAAGCCGGAGTCTTTTTCAAAATGCACTGTGTGAAGTGAGGGAAGCAAACTTTTACATTCGTCAGCGGGAAAACTACCCTTTTGTCTTTCCTATTGACTTTTAAATGGTCCAGCATAATTATCTCGGGTGAAAACACTAAATTCCTCAGTACAAAACGTGCCTCAAAAGCTTGAATAACTGGTGTAGATCGATTCAGTCTTGCTAGGTAGCAACCAGTTGGGACATAGTTCCATCGTGTAAGGAGTATAGTTGACTGAACAATGCTGGACAAGAACAAAATGTGCCATTACCGAACACAGTTGCAACATCGCATAGTTTTTTGCTATCTGTCGCAAATTCAAAATTCTTTAACGATGATTGATAGCATAATCACACAACAAAAATCTTTTCGGAGAAGAATTTTCTGTCCATGAGCCTTCAAGATTAACATCATGTTGCGTAGTTGGTAATTCTGGTAGAACCTCAGCTTCTATATTGGAATGCTCGAAGGTTGATGTCCTATCTATCATATCTTCAACATCATCGTCAAAATACCTTGACTCCTAATTTCACTATTGCGTTATCATATGCAGTTGAGATAAGACATAGTCCATCAGATCCGCATGGTAATCGTAGTTCTGCCTTAAAGTTACTGTGATTTAGTTCAAAGTTAACGTTGTAGCCTGACATGGACGAGATGTAAGGATTAATACGGTGATTGCACCTACTCTTTATAGAATACTTATAACCAGCATGAAGAGTGTAATAATCACCTCTACCATTTTCTATAACGTCAATTTGTACTTGTGCGTTCGCAATAATGGAAAGATTGAGTGATATTAAAGTTCCTTATAAACCTGTCTCTTAACCTCACGTCCAATAATTTAATGATGTTATTTAATATTGCTGCTATTGCACGACATTGTCTATGTAAACAATAACATCATACTAATATCAATAGGAGGTTTATACATAACTAGCATATCATTTGGACACAAAATTATAAAAAAAATTTCGATAACACTGGACACAGAAGGCGTCTGAGGAAACTAATGTCCCAGATCATACTTCAACGGCAAGGTTAACTTACACTGGACACAGGAAGCGTCTATGGGGACTAATGCCCCAGGACACACTTCAACAACTAGGTTTACTTATACTTTAAAAGGAGGCGTCTAGGGGGACTAATGCTCAAGGTCACACTTCAACAGCAAGGATAACTTACACTGGACACAGGAAGCGTCTATGGGGACTAATGCCCCAGGACACACTTCAACAACTAGGTTTACTTATACTTTAAAAGGAGGCGTCTATGGGGACTAATGCCCCAGGACACACTTCAACAACTAGGTTTACTTATACTTTAAAAGGAGGCGTCTATGGGGACTAATGCCCCAGGACACACTTCAACAACTAGGTTTACTTATACTTTAAAAGGAGGCGTCTATGGGGACTAATGCCCCAGGACACACTTCAACAACTAGGTTTACTTATACTTTAAAAGGAGGCGTCTATGGGGACTAATGCCCCAGGACACACTTCAACAACTAGGTTTACTTATACTTTAAAAGGAGGGTCGGGGACTCTAGGACACACTTCAACAACTAGGTTTACTTATACTTTAAAAGGAGGCGTCTAGGGGGACTAATGCTCAAGGTCACACTTCAACAGCAAGGATAACTTACACTGGACACACGAAGCGTCTGACGGAAACTAATGCTCAAGGTCACACTTCAACAGCAAGGATAACTTACACTGGACACACGAAGCGTCTGACGGAAACTAATGCTCAAGGTCACACTTCAGCAGCTAGGTTAACTTATACTGGACACAGAAGGCCTCTTGGGGGACTAATGCCCCAGGACATACTCCAACGACTAGGTTTACTTATACTTTAAAAGGAGGCGTCTAGGGGGACTAATGCCCCAGGACACACTTCGACAATTAGGTTTACTTATACTTTAAAAGGAGGCTTCTAGGGGGGACTAATGCCCCAGGACACACTTCGACAATTAGGTTTACTTATACTTTAAAAGGAGGCGTCTATGGGGACTAATGCCCCAGGACACACTTCAACAACTAGGTTTACTTATACTTTAAAAGGAGGCGTCTATGGGGACTAATGCCCCAGGACACACTCCAACGACTAGGTTTACTTATACTTTAAAAGGAGGCGTCTACACACTTACAATTAGGTTTAATACTTTAAAAGGAGGCGTCTAGGGGGGGCTAATGCCCCAGGACACACTTCGACAATTAGGTTTACTTATACTTTAAAAGGAGGCGTCTAGGGGGGACTAATGCCCCAGGACACACTTCAACGACTAGGTTTACTTATACTTTAAAAGGAGGCGTCTATGGGGACTAATGCCCCAGGACACACTCCAACGACTAGGTTTACTTATACTTTAAAAGGAGGCGTCTAGGGGGGACTAATGCCCCAGGACACACTTCGACAATTAGGTTTACTTATACTTTAAAAGGAGGCGTCTAGGGGGGGGGCTAATGCCCCAGGACACACTTCGACAATTAGGTTTACTTATACTTTAAAAGGAGGCGTCTAGGGGGGACTAATGCCCCAGGACACACTTCAACGACTAGGTTTACTTCTACTTTAAAAGGAGGCGTCTAGGGGGGACTAATGCCCCAGGACACACTTCGACAATTAGGTTTACTTATACTTTAAAAGGAGGCGTCTAGGGGGGACTAATGCCCCAGGACACACTTCAAGAATTAGGTTTACTTATACTGGACACAGAAGGAGTCTAGGGGGACTAATGCACCAGGACACACTTCAACAACTATGTTTACTTGCAATGGACACAGAAGGAGTCTAGGGGGAATATTGCCCCACCTTTACTTACATTCAGTACTAAAGCCGTCTAGTGGAACTAATTCCCCTGTGCATACTCCAAAAGCCATATACAGAACAGTCAATCGTACCAAGGTCGTCATCTTGTTCATTGTGACATCAAAGTCTTCTGAAAGAATCTATATAGTTACAAGATAAGCCCAATGTCGTTTTAAGGTATAGATAAGAAATTCACCTGACCAGAATTTTCATCCAGATAGTTCATGATTTCCTTTTTAGTAAAGTTTGCTCCCTCTGTCGTTGCCAGTAGAAATGTTATTTATCTTTTCGAGACAAACATACAACATTTATATTGATAGCGTTCTGACCTATATATTCCCCTTTTCCATGTTATCCGTTCACGATGCAAATGTTTCAATAAATGTAAAGTAATATCTTACAAATCATAGAATGGACACGTCAAACTATTACGTTTCACCAATATTATTTACATATCGTTTGACACTTACAATTTGATAAACATCTTCAATAAAACAAAATTCATTCACTTGTGATTTCTATCAAACAATTTCACCAGAAACAAAATCCTTAAAAGATTAATAGTAAATCTCACGTGGCAACACATACACAACCATAACACTCAACTTATGGCAGATTTAACGATTGTGTTTACCGCTGTATTTTACAGCAAACAAGTTACATTGTAAATCTTATTTACGTTTGCACAAAGAAATGCATACAAAATATTTTAGAGCATGATAAACTGGCATTATATTACTCTAAGTATAACCAACTGTTATTTATAATACCAAGTTGTTATAATAACTTTGTATCTATAAAGAATATAACAAATTATCATAATTATATACAGTATACCAAACCGCCATTCTTTTTTTTAAAGCCTCAAAAATGACTTTATTTGAGTGTAACAAACAGCTCTAATATCAACTCTGAAATAAGAGATGATTTAATTATACATGCACTTGATGTTCTTTAGAAATAATTATAAAATAGACTGAAATTAATGCTTTCTGAAGGATCAGTCGACTCCTACAGTTCAACAAATCATGTCATAAGCATTTTTGTACAAAACAATTGAATGAGTTTAAATCGTCACTTGGTCTTATTCTTGTACTTTTTCAGTCCATGTAAATCTTTCTTTTGGCCACATTTTGCACTTGTTTCATTGAATTTGAATTTAATTAGGATTATGTTGCCATGTTGGTATTTTCTTTTTTTGCTCTGCTGTATATAATTCTTGTAATAAAAAGTGATATTGCCTTGTGATTCTTTAGTTCAGTCTTCGATATTGAAGTGTATAGACATTGCTGATAGACATTCCGTCCCCGAGGTTTGCCGTAATCTGCATGTCACCTGATAATTCATTCAAATACTGGCACGGTTCAGAATATACCCATGTACTTGATCTCCTTTTGTATCATTTAATACTGTTCATTATGGTTTTGAGATTTAGTTCAACCGATGTGGATCTTCATCAATCAACTTCATGTATTAAAGTTTTAACAATTTGGTTGTACGATGCAGTTTAATTCATCATATTGGGGTCTACTGTAACAACAACAATTCTTGTATTGAAAGGTTCTTTCTACTGGTTCGTCTTCCAGATTGCAGGTGATTTACTGTAACTTGCATGTTACGTTTGATGTCATTTGAATCATGACACGATACAGAAACTACTTTTGAAATCATTCATTACTGAAAAGCATGCATTTAATGTATATCTTACCATATAGTTTTGTGAGATTCAGTTTTGGCCAAATATATCTTCCTCCGTCGCTTCCTTGGTTTTAACAATCTAGTCGCATAGCCTTACTGACGATACTGAGAAAGACGATATAGTTGCATGATGCAATTTTCTCATTATTTGCCCCTTTGTATGGTATTCTAAATTCCTTACGAAAGGTTTCATTTGCTTGCTTGTCTGTTGTTATATTTAAAGAACGATAACTCGTATAGACCTTTAAACAATTGCCATCATGTGTTTTTCTACCATGTAGCAATACAAATAACCATACTATACCTAATATTTATATTTTACTCATGCAACCAATAAATAACAAAATTAAAACACAACAGAGGAAAAATTACGCTGCCACAGTATTCGTTTCATTGCAAATAGATGTATTGCCTGCGGAAAACTCGTGCGAATTCGAGCTGTAATATTTCGACATGATTACAGAACATGCCATTTTCTCTTTCTCAAAAAAAAAAAAGACAAGTAGAAGTTCTAGGCAAAAACAAAATCCAAACAAAAATAGATTCGTGAGAATTTTTATTTGCAAAAAGCACATTTTATTTGCCGAAGATTTCCTCCCCTAGAGCATCACCGGTTACTGGTAGATTGGTGATACGGAGGGGCACGGTACTCTGGTAGCGCGTGGATGTGCTCGTGATTGTGTAAGTTACGTAGACAGTTTTGAAGGCAACTCCATTGGTGACGTCAATAGAAGTGGGGTCGTATTCAACCTGAGGAGATAGAAATTGCACGTTCCATTTATTTATTTCAAAAACTTCAATTTCTACGATGCATTTTGAACTTATCTATGAATTTTTAGAATTGAATGTTCCGGAGGAAGTTGATCCTTTTTTTACCTTTGTTACTATGGCTTTGTTGACCGCTGTGTCGTATATAGCTTTCATTTTAGTTAGCAACGCTGTAGCTGCTTGCTGTCTGTGGATCTCATCTGCACCACAAACTGAAATACAGGTGGGCACATGCATCATTCTTACTTAGGTGCTTTAAGTTAAACCAAACTTTGAATGCAAAAAATAATATTCTTTACATATTTTCATACGAAGACACACTCTCAAATATCATCTGTAAGAGCCCAGTGATAAAATTATTGTGATTATAGAATTATTATTCAATGATAACAAACGACACTTGCTGTAAAAAAGAAATTTGCTTCAAGTAAATAGGTTTAGGTCGTCTTTTTATACAAATATAAAGCTGAGTCGATTTGGTGCTGTTTTCGTACTTGCCTACATAATCAAATTATACTAATTCGCGTTAATTATGTAATTATATACCGATTCATTAGGAGAAACCTTATATAAAGTATAATTCTTAAAGTCTTTAAGTGAAGCCGCTATTTAATATCAGAAATCGTTTAACGGAGTCTGTGTTGAAAATTCCTGCATTTATTACAGCACTTTCTGTCGTTTAAAGAAGACCCTGAATTTATAACTATATTAACTTTCATTTAGTAAAATCTGTATCGATTACAATATTTACTGCCGTTAACTGAAGCCTTGTATTCCTGAAGACCATGTATTAATTACAATAATTGTTGTCCTTTAATGAAGAATGTATTAATTACAAAATTAGTAGTCCTTTGGTGAAAATATTTGTTGTCCTCTAGAAAAGACCATGTATTAATTACAATATTTGTAGTCCTCTAGTGAAGACCATGTATTAATAACAATATTTGTAGTCCTCTAGTGAAGACCATGTATTAATTACAATATTTGTAGTCCTCTAGTGAAAACTCTGTATAAATTACAATATTTATAGTCCTCTAGTGAAGACCATGTATTAATTACAATGTTTGTAGTCCTTTAGTGAAGACCATTTATTAATTACAATGTTTGTAGTCCTTTGGTGAAGAAAATGTATTAATTACAATAATTGTAGTCCTCTAGTGAAAACAGTGAAAATTCTGTATTAATTACAATGTTTGTAGTCCTCTAGTGAAGACCCTGTATTAATTACAGTAGCCCTGTATTAATTACAGTAGCCCTGTGTTAATTACAGTAGTCCTGTATTAATTACAGTATCCCTGTATTAATTACAGTAGCCCTGTATTAATTACAGTATCCCTGTATTAATTACAGTAGCCCTGTATTAATTACAGTAGCCCTGTATTAATTACAGTAGCCCTGTATTAATTACAGTAGCCCTGTATTAATTACAGTAGCCCTGTATTTATTACTGTATCCCTGTATTAATTACAGTAGCCCTGTATTAATTACAGTAGCCCTGTATTTATTACTGTATCCCTGTATTAATTACAGTAGCCCTGTATTAATTACAGTATCCCTGTATTAATTACAGTAGTCCTGTATTAATTACAGTATCCCTGTATTAATTACAGTAGCCCTGTATTAATTACAGTATCCCTGTATTAATTACAGTAGCCCTGTATTAATTACAGTAGCCCTGTATTAATTACAGTAGCCCTGTATTAATTACAGTAGCCCTGTATTTATTACTGTATCCCTGTATTAATTACAGTAGCCCTGTATTAATTACAGTAGCCCTGTATTAATTACAGTAGCCCTGTATTAATTACAGTAGCCCTGTATTAATTACAGTAGCCCTGTATCCCTGTATTAATTACAGTAGCCCTGTATTAATTACAGTAGCCCTGTATTAATTACAGTAGTCCTGTATTTATTACAGTAGCCCTGTATTAATTACAGTAGCCCTGTATCAATTCCTGTAACCTTGTATTAATTACAGAAGCCCTGTATTAATTACAGTATCCCTGTATTAATTACAGTAGCCCTGTATTAATTACAGTAGCCCTGTATTAATTACAGTAGCCCTGTATTAATTACTGTATCCCTGTATTAATTACAGTAGCCCTGTATTAATTACAGTATCCCTGTATTAATTACAGTAGCCCTGTATTAATTACAGTAGCCCTGTATTAATTACAGTAGCCCTTTATCAATTCCTGTAACCTTGTTTTAATTACAGTAGTCCTGTATTAATTACAGTAGTCCTGTATTAATTACAGTAGTCCTGTATTAATTACAGTAGCCCTGTATCAATTCCTGTAACCTTGTATTAATTACAGAAGCCCTGTATTAATTACAGTATCCCTGTATTAATTACAGTAGTCCTGTATTAATTACAGTAGTCCTGTATTTATTACAGTAGCCCTGTGTTAATTACAGTAGTCCTGTATTAATTACAGTAGCCCTGTATTAATTACAGTAGCCCTGTATTAATTACAGTAGCCCTGTATCAATTCCTGTAACCTTGTTTTAATTACAGTAGTCCTGTATTAATTACAGTAGCCCTGTATTAATTACAGTAGCCCTGTATCAATTCCTGTAACCTTGTTTTAATTACAGAAGCCCTGTATTAATTACAGTAGCCCTGTATTAATTACAGTAGCCCTGTATTAATTACAGTAGTCCTGTATTAATTACAGTAGCCCTGTATTAATTACAGTAGTCCTGTATTAATTACAGTAGCCCTGTATTAATTACAGTAGCCCTGTATCATAATTACAGTAGCCCTGTATTAATTACAGTATTTAATTACAGTATTAGTAGCCCTGTATTAATTACAGTAGCCCTGTATTAATTACAGTAGCCCTGTATCAATTCCTGTAACCTTGTATTAATTACAGTAGCCCTGTATTAATTACAGTAGCCCTGTATCAATTCCTGTAACCTTGTATTAATTACAGAAGCCCTGTATTAATTACAGTATCCCTGCATTAATTACAGTAGCCCTGTATTTATTACTGTATCCCTGTATTAATTACAGTAGCCCTGTATTAATTACTGACTACCATATTCACTGTCCTTTTGAGAAACCCCTTTTATAGTGGTAATACTTACTGTCATTCAATATTTCGTCTGTAGTACGGGAATTCGTGTCCAGTATGTCACAGGTAGGACAAACACTCCGTTTACCGAATATACCTACAATATATCTGCTATTAACGTAAATACAACAAGCATTCAACATACCAATATAGGTTGTTTGCTGGGTTCATCGCCTCTACAGCTAGAATCATTTGAGGCGAGATGTCCTTGTAGTACCTGAAAACATAGCACTGTTAAATATACGGGAGGTCCGTTAAGTACCTCCAGAGTTAGTGAGTTGGTAACATAGGATCTAAAAGTACATAAGTTTCTTGGGAGAAAAAAAAAACGCACATTTAATCATTTTCTCTTCCGACGTTTGTCATTATGACATCGTGGATGTTTAGTCTACGACAGGAATAGTTCAACAATGCAATTTTTAACCGATAATTTAAATCATTTGCAAATATTCCGATAATGTAAACAACATACAGCTGTTTTAGCTTTATATGACGCATCAGTAATGTTAAGGACCCATATTGATGAAATCGAGGAGGCGAGAGCAGAAGTTCTAAATCAGTAGAAATCAATGCCAACACCCACGGTGCGGTAGTGTATTAACTCCAATATTAACATCAATTTTATAACGTCATTGTAGATGTGACTTTAAGACTTTAAAAGGAATAAAAACTCCAATAATATGTACTGCAGATGGTAGACTCTGCGGGTGACCTCTAGAAGTTTGTCATACCTGTATTGTCTTTTGAAATAGTCAATGTTGAAAAATACGAAATTTATTGAATATGGTGGTTAATGCACCTCTACATACGGGTTTTGACATACCTTTAAATCAGTTCTGATTTATCGTCTCGGGCCCTAAACCTTTGACCCTTAAAATAACTGATGAATTCTTTAAGGACAAAAAAGCTGTATGATACGCTTTGTTATATTATTAAGGTTTTTGGTTTCTCATTCTACTTTTATATTTCAAATTGCTATCGACTTTCGTGCCTCTTGTACACTCACTAGTTCTCTTTTAAAGTAAGACACGGTATCAACCATTTGATACCAAACCTCTGGATGAGTAACTTGTGTTTGCACTAGTGAATTAACAGTATACCCTAACTCTTGTTACTTCTGTCTCTAGTTCTTAACAATATGAAGTTAGGGACACAGACAATTCTAATGGATAATTTTAAATATTTGCAAAACATGCATGGGAGATTTCTCGTTTTCTTTTTAGATTTACAACCTCTCAGCAATTACCTACAATAGAATGTTTAAAGTAAATTTGACCTTAATGCTACGTCGGTAAGAGAAATGACTGAAAACTAATAAGTATGCCATTTCATTATCACATACTGTAGACTCCAAAGGCTGACACCTACCTCCAATAGCGTGTCCTATATCGGAAATGGCGTGTCCCACGCTACTTCCGGCGTGTTCTATCTCATGTCCGAGGTGATTAACACCGTCGAGTGCGCCCTGTGCACCGTGGGCAAGTTGTTCTCCGATGTTGTCGAGACCGTTTGCAATTGAATTGCCGAAATCAAGTGTACCTGACTCCAGACCATTTACTGCAGTTTCCAAGCCATGTCCGAGATCTCCGGCCAGACCTGCCAACTGGTCTCCAAAATGAGTTAAACCTTTAAGAGCGTCGCTAGTGATATCTGAAACTCCATCTATGAGGGATTCGCCTGCGTTCTTTGCTACACTGCCGACATCTTTGACGAAGTCCGTTGTTTTGTCTCCAAGAACATTAACAGCACTCTCCAAACTTCCTTCAATGTCCTTTACAACTCCCGCCGCCAAAACAACTGGCTTCATCAGAGCGGGCAGGACAACTCCCAACACACCAGTTGGCGGGACGGTGTTGTGACTAGATTTGGAAAACATTTTTTAAAAAGTTTACTAACTTAGAGAAAGTATTATACCCTCCAATTCAATAACATAGTCCTCAAACATGATATGAAATAAAGTATAATATCTAAGTTGATCAACAAGATACATGTTTTAAACTGCCGTATTCAAGGGTTCACTATCGTGTTTTTTTATCTGCTTAAATTTTACAAGATTTTGAACAAGACACACGCCAACACACCCAGAAGTACCAATGTGTGTTACGTTATCGTCGTCGTCGTCTTCTTCTTCTACACACCATTGCATCATCATCATGTGGTTGCGTAGTAATAAAAAGAGCCCGTCTTTCAACTATTCGTACGGGATTCGATTCCCTGAACGGATATGAGCTTTCTATTTTTATTTTCCCCACAGTATGACCCCTCGAGCTAACATCAAGTGTGTCAGAAGTATAAGTTGGAATAAATGATATTTCTACATGTAAATAACTCGTACACAAACAACCATACAACATGAAGGCAGACAAAGACGAACAACATAGAAGGAGAGAGTGGGAGGTGGAATTATTGAAGAGTGGGAGGAAAGGGAGGTAATCTTTGGTAGCTGTGACATTAGAATGTGTGCTGATATGACGACCATGTGAGGGAATAGAAATCGATGTACAAAATTACAACTTTATTATTGCATACTGTAGGTATTGTATATAATTTACATAAATGGAATGCGTTATTCTGTAATTTTTATTTATTACAATTTCTTCTATTCGTACACACACATTTATCAGTAAGCATCTCCCATTTAGTACTAGTTTGGCTTTATAATGAACAAGGATTGAACATCTAGATCGATGAATCAATATTCAGTTACTTAAGTTGTGTACAGACACTATTTTATGTGCGGAATTGTCAACTCTATCTAGTCTGCTGAAGGACATAATAGTGGGTTATATAGATGGATATATAGACAACTTTATCCATGTTAAATGTTGTTATTACTGATTTTACAAAAAAATGGATGTTTGTTTAATGAAAAAATGTATGAATAAAACTTACGACAACATATATAGACTTTGAATTAGATTTTGGAATTGATCACATTTTCAAAATAAATGTACAATTGTTTCTTTTTCAGTGTTATAGAGGTTGAAGAGAGTACTTTGTTCGCTTTCCTGTAAAAAGAAATGAGTTTGTACTTCAAATTTGGTGGAAGACCAGATTTTAGTGATTTGTCGGTTCTTATGTTTAACAAGTTCTCATCATTAAAATTGGAAATTTTACCGTTTTCTTTGTTCTTAGTTTTTGAGGGTTTTTTTCTGATTAAAAATAATCATAAATGCGATTAAGCCTTTAGTTGGTTTTTTTTTTTTGTTTTTTGTATGAAGCAATGTTGACCGGCAATGGTAGAATAGAGCGGGTGAAGTCCATGCTCCTCGATATCATAAATTTGTGAACAATGTTAAGACTATTCCACTAAACATGTAACTATTAAACTCAGAAAATCAGTATAAATTCAATGATGCACTTTTAATCAATTTGTCACGAAATTTCTTAATAAAGCTAGCATTAATCGCTTTTTAACCTGGAAATCGGATACAGCGGAGAATTAACGCGATGTTATCTTGGATGGTTAAAACTGTAATTTGTTGGTTACATGCGTTTCAAACAATTGATGTATATGTTTGTTACATTTACTTAAATTATTAAAGACTGTAAGTATGATTTGATTTCCATATCAAAGCCTGAAAAGATTTGTGTCGGTCAGTTCTCGTGCTGTGGTAAGTGCATTGTGGGTAGTGAAATTCCAGCCACACTTCTGTTTAAAAGTTGATCGTATGGGCAGCTTAAGCTTGTTGAATTATCACACACAATACCATGAAGCGCTCGCCCGCTATGAATTCATCAATTGGTAATTCCGGCAAACTCCCCAACCCCGAATAACGTAAGGGAAACTGAGACGTATTTCATTATAACACCATGGATGTTTAGTCTACGACAGGAATAGTTCAAAAATGCAATTTTTTAACTGGGAATTTAAATCATTTGCAAATATTTCGATAATGTAAACTACATACAGCTGTTTTAGCTTTATATGACGCATCAGTAATTTTAATGCCCCATATTGTTGAAATCGAGGAGGCGAGAGCAGAAGTTCTAAATTAGTAGAAATCAATGCCAACACACACGGGTGTGGTAGTGTATTGACTCCAATATTAACATCAATTTTGTAATAACGTCATTGTAGATGTGACGTTAAAACTCCAATATTATTTACTGCAGATGGTAGAGTTCTGCGGGTGACCTCTAGAAGTTTGTCTGTGATTGTCGATAAAGTTCATTGGACAGTACATTTTCAACATTTAAGGTGTATTTTAACACTGATAGATTAGACCCAAGATAATAAAACTCGAAGATAAGAAGTTACGTGGGAGATTTTGGTCAGTACGATAACAATGACCTTGAACAATCACCACGATTGTAACACGCTTGTGACACAATTAGATGTTTTACGAGGTTAACGTTATATGACGTGTACATACAATATTTCTACAAAGAACTGCTTTCAGATTCTAAAGAAAACAAGATTAAGAGACAGATATTAAACAATCAGATCCTCAAACACCAGTTACTGACCTCTTGGCGCATGCGTTACAGCTGTCGATTGACTGATTAATTTTCACCTCACACTGATGTTTCAGCGAGTCCTGGATCTCAACGGTATCGTTCAGTTGTCGTACAATCAAAAACATCAACTTCTTTCTGACGAGTTTGTCTAAAGCTGGTGAAAAGGAACACGATACGTCAGAGCAAAATACAATAGATCTACAAGATACTAGAAAGATAGGGGATGAAAAGATACGACTTAAAGCCTTCGTCAACAATGTTGGAGAGGTGGACTTTCTTGAAACCAAATCCTACATTACATTACAATGCTTATTGTGCAAACAAATGATATGGCCTTATTTCAAGTTAGCGTTGTCCACGGGAACAAATGCCCCATGTTACATGTGTTTTATATAAACTGAAAGATGAAATCGTCCTAGGGAACTAATGGGTGGTTTAACCAAGACTGGATACTGAAGTCATCTATGGGAGTTAACTATGGTGAGTTTAACTATGACTTGATACTGAAGTCGTTTACGGGAGTTAACTATGAGGGGTTTAACCAAGACTGGATACTGAAGTCGTCTATTGGAGTTCACTATGGGGGAATTAACCAAGACTGGATACTGAAGTCGTCTATGGGAGTTAACTATGAGGGGTTTAACCAAGACTGGAATCTGAATATAAGGGGGTTAACCAAAACTGGTTACTGAAATCGTCTAAGGAAGTTAACTATGGTGAGTTTAACTATGACTTGATACTGAAGTCGTTTACGGGAGTTAACTATGAGCGGTTAAACTAAGACTGGATACTGAAGTCGTCTAGTGGAGTTAACTATGGGGGTTTAACCAAGACTGGATACTGAAGTCGTCAATGGGAGTTAACTATGGTGAGTTTAACTATGACTTGATACTGAAGTCGTTTACGGGAGTTAACTATGAGGGGTTTAACCAAGACTGGATACTGAAGTCGTCTATAGGAATTAACTATAGGGGTTTAACCAAGACTGAATACTGAAGTCGTCTATTGGAGTTAACTATAGGGGAATAAAGTAAGACTGGATACTGAAGTCGTCTATGAGAGTTCACTATGGGAGATGGGGTCAACCAAGACCGGATACTGAAAGAGTCCTGGAAAGTTGATATCCGTGCACATTCATCAACAGCTGTTTTTACTTTTTACTAGGTACTGATGTTTTCTGGCGGGAACTAAAGTTCTGTTTTTTTTTTCACTTACACTGAGTACTGAAGTCATCTAGGACACCCCAACACATACTCCAATAGCTTATTGCACTTACACTGAGGACTGAAGTCGTCTAGGACACCCCAACACATACTCCAATAGCTTATTGTACTACACTGAGTACTAAAGTCATCTAGGGGAGTTAATACCCCAGCACATACTGCAATAGCTTATTGTACTTACACTAAGTACTGAAATCGTCTAGGACACCCCAAACACATACTCCAATAGCTTATTGTACTTACAATGAGTACTGAAGTCGTCTATGACACCCCAACACATACTCCAATAGCTTATTGTACTTACACTGAGTACTGAAGTCGTCTAGGGGAGTTAATACCCAGCACATACTGCAATAGCTTATTGTACTTACACTGAGTACTGAAGTCGTCTAGAGGAGTTAATACCCCAGCACATACTCCAATTAACACACACAGAACAGCCAATCTTATTGAGGTGGTCATCTTGTTCATAGTGACACCAACGTTTTTGACAGCCTTTATAGGTACGTCTTAACTTAAGATAAGCCATACTTTATGGTCAAGTTCAGATAACAAAGATAACAAATTACAGAATTCCATTGACTATAAGCGTCATCCAAATTCATCCAAATTGTTCCTAGTTCCAATAACATATAACATTTGCTCTCTCTCTCTCTCTCTCTCTCTCTCTCTCTCTCTCTCTCTCTCTCTCTCTCTCTCTCTCTCTCTCTCTCTCTCACCCTCTCTCTATCTCTCTCTCTCTCTCTCTCTCTCTCTCTCTCTCTCTCTCTCTCTCTCTCTCTCTCTCTCTCTCTCTCTCTCTCTCTCTCTCTCTTAACTGTAATGATGTGTCAATGTAAGCATACACAGACACATACACACACACACACACACACACACACACACACATACATACATACATGCATACATACATACCTATTTAATTTAATTTAGTTCGTTTAAGTATTTTACTTTGAGCAAAGAGAAGAAGAATGATATTGCCGAGCATAACTGTTAATCGTTACATTTTGGAAAATTTAGAAAACAATAGCAGATCTTCCCAGTCGTCAACCTTGAAAAAAACACAGCCAGAAAAGGTAGATACATCCGGCTTTGTCATCTCAAGGATCGTTGATGGTGTCGATGGTTTTTTTTTATAGAATCCTGTCAGTCCATCTACAATACGTAGACTCTCTTTTTCTCGCGGCTATTCAAAAGTTGATTCTTTATCAACGTTAACGTCTTCATTCAGCGCAAAAGAGCTTATTTCACACGTCATGGCCCAAATGAGGACAAGATAATGCGCACACCACAGCGGTTATATATGTCTACGCCAGAACACACTGACAACGCTGGTAAAACCGTCATATATGTCTACGCCAGAACACACGGACAACGCTGGTTTAACCGTCATATATGTCTACGCCAGAACACACTGACAACGCTGGTTTAACCGTCATATATGTCTACGACAGAACACACTGACAACGCTGGTTAAGCCGTCATATATGTCTACGACAGAACACACTGACAACGCTTGTTAAACCGTCATATATGTCTACGACAGAACACAATGACAACGCTTGTTAAACCGTCATATATGTCTACGCCAGAACACACTGACAACGCTGGTCAAGCCGTCGTATGTGTCAAGGCCAGAACACACTGATAAAGCTGGTTAAATTGAACCTGCCACTCCATGACGAGTGACGGATCATTTCTAGAAACACTATCCTAAAACTCCCAATGTCCACGAGAAGATGAACGTTGTGATTTGTAATGAACGCTCTTGGTTGTGATCCCTCGCCATTGTGTAAGGTAACGGACGTGATTGTATCGAATGTCGTTTGATTGATTTTATTGAATGTGATCAGTGGATAGCATTAACTTTCCAATTATACCAAATACATATTGGTTTTTTTTTACTGTGTTGGAAAGACATTTTTCTTAACTTCAGTATATACTATTGCACTTAAATAGTAGAGTATAATTTTCTATAAATGGGATAAGACTATCCGAAGTTGCGTCTTTAGTACTAGTCTGACTATTCACGGTTTTATTTTTGGCTTCATCGTCAGAACAGTTGATAGTAGGAATCCCTTCCTAGCTTCTGTATCGAGACAAAACTTAAGCAAAACCCGGCATTTCGTCAACGTTACAACCGTGCTCAACCTATAGCTAACACATCAGTGAACAGATAAAACAGTTTCTATTAACCTACATAGGGGTCGAAATCATTCACGGTCCTTAACTAAGTATATTCATTCTTTTTCCTTGACAACCTCTGTATACACTTTTATGTTCATATAGAAAACTTTCACGAGATTGAAAATGTGTTGGAAGTCTGGTTGTTTGGAAAAATGAGTATATATATATTTATTTTTATATTGACCCATACAAGTGTCGCTAAAATTTCGTGTTTGAGTATAATGTTAGGTAGGAATTTTGAAATCGCAACAAAGACAAAAGATACAACAAGGATTGACATAGTATATTCCAGTGTTATAAATTCGCATTATTGAGAATTTCCGAAGAGCGACACAATGTAAAAATGATTCAGTTTTTAAAAAAAATCATCATTGTAACGCTAAATTGTCTGATACTGACGAAAAGTAAAGCTTAATTTGAGGTTACATACCAAAGGAATGCATCATAGCGTTATTCGGCTTCTACAACTGCCGTCTGTGTCAACGTTTATACTCATCAGCGTCATTGACTTTTAGCAATAATAGAAAAATCACTGAAAACCAGTCTGTTGGCGAGACAATAGTGTTTAATCTTTAGGTAGGTCAACTTTCAAAATTCACATTTTACATAAAATAACAGTTTAGTTTAATAGTGAAGAGCGGGCCACTTTATAATTACATTACTTGTTATTTGATGAGCCGTAATTACAGATTGTCTTAATATCTCCTTGTCATATTGTCTATGATTTTCAGATTTATATTAAAGAACACTTTTTATCAATTTTGAGAACACTGATGAAGTAACCTATGAATGAAAATTTTAAGTATTACCGCACTATTTCGGAAACATTTTCTGACTTACAGGATGACTTGATCTGTAGAATCCAGTGACGTCAGATACGAGATAAAGCAGGAGACTATAGATATGTCGCTCCTTTGCCAGCATTTCTCAATCAATGTCACTAAAATACTTTATCAATATTGTGTATATAAATATAATGGGACCTATCAAACCCCCAAATAAAAATTTGATTTGTTTTTATATTTGAAAAAAAAAACAGTAGTGATCTGTCCAATAAAAATATTATTCGCAATATTTTCCTGTTAAGTCTCAATGCAAACTATTTGCTTCTGCAGTTTGGTGTATAGATTATTCTCTTGTACAACCAATTCCGACATGCACAACTGCAATTTGGTGTATCGATTTGTATAAGATAATTCCTTTATCATTTGGCTAGATCTGATGAAAACGATGTTTTTATTATCTATCTCACAATGGTAAGTCCCATTTTGATAACATCCACATACAAGGTTATGTAAATATACATTCTGTAGAAGGAAACAGTCGGATTTATTTCTAAGGGAGAATTAGGTCACTGTCCTGTTGAATCTAATATTATAACCAAAGGTAACGATTACCTACTTCGAGCTTGATAAGACCACTCCCATAAGATTCAGATGCACTAATTCTATATTCACAATAATGGTACCTGTGTCTATTCGTTATGAAATGTTTCATAGGCGTGCACTGTGTATGTAATACTGGTAAAACATACTCTCGATACCGTAATCAACCTAATAAAAACAAAATACATCATACACGATAGAATTAATGACAAGTATTGCATGCTGATTAGAGCAAAAAAAAAAACGTTCCTATGCAAAAATATAAGACATGGGTATCGGAGAGATTTGTGTCTTGGAACGCATTCCCTAAAATTTGGATTGGGTGAACGTAACTTTGAGATCGCTAATGGTAAGTTAAGGAATATAGGAGTGTAAAGACGGTCAAATATGTAAGTTTTTCGACAATTATTTAATTCAATCGAATTGAAAATATACCGACAACTTTCGTACGGAATAGAAGACTTGTATTTGTAAGACTGTGTGATACTTCGTGTAACTGACAGACGTCAAACATTTCTCGGCAGTTGTCTCTATTGTTGTTTAGACAAGTGAAGAACATCTCATTATACAAATTTAGAATTCGATACCATAGAGCACCTTCTTCGCTCTTTTAGGACTCGGCAGTGCCATCAAGATAATAAATTGTTGAAACTTAGATGATAACTGAGGAAAGTCACGTTTAAATGACCAAACATGCCAAGTTTTGGAGAGATCTCATAGAAGAGGACTCTCTGGATAACATTAAAATGCCTAAAAGGGCAATAATTCTTCAAAATGTCTTGTTTCTAAATGTTGTTAGGAAAACGCAATTTCGCATTTATGTTGTCCAGTACAATAGAAGTTCTTATAACACAACCAGTAGCAGATTAGAGTGTGATGTTTCAATAACTACACCTTCATCAGACAAATGACCAGTGTGTTGAGCGTACTAGCACTGAAGTACGTAGTATTCGAGATGATTAGAAACTTTTGTGGTTTTTTATATAAACACGTACTTACTACTGTATACTACGCAGCTATTACAGAATTATCCGAGCCGAGCTAAATTTATAGAACGTACCGAGATTCAAAGAAACTGGTTAACTAGTTCGGGCTTCGTAAAGTTCCAAAACAGTCTAATTGTTCTGCGATTCGCTAAAATACAACTTCATTCATGATGATTCAGCTTACCAAGTTTGAAAGAGTTGGTTAAAAACTGTTGGAGATCCCTTGACATAAGTTGACGACGGACGGCCAATGGCATACGATAAAACGTCAGGTTAAAATTGTTGGCCTGTGTATAAAATCCAGATGAAGAGACACACTGAATTTCGTGATTTTAAAAGTTACGCCAAATGTCCATGTCTATAAGTCTACCACTTGAAACCTCGAATACTATGCAAGACACAAGTGATGATCCCCTTTCAATAAGAATTCTGAATGACCTTAAAACGTGGTACAGTTAGCCAAAATAGGAATTATACTACTATTAGGCATCATACAGCTGTTTATCTTCTAGGGCTCGCAAAAGTGATGCCTAGTCTATTTTAGGACAGAGACAATTTCTTAACAAGAGATCCCAGAGGGATCTTGGCGCCCACCATTTGAGGATCTGTTTTCAGTTCTTGAAGATTTTTTTGTTTGTTACAGGTGTTGTAAATGTTCATGAACTGGTCTTCATTGAATGTACTCAATGATGGCACAAGATATTTTTATTAAGCACCTATTAGCAAATATCATTTGAAAAAGATCCCAAAGTATTATTAGATAGCAGTCAGTTACAGGTGGATAATGGACAATATGCTTGTGCTGTATTACTGTCGACATCCAAGATGGCTGCCTGTGGGCCACCTTGATTTCAAATCAGTCCAAAAAAGGTACAATGCACAACTAGGGACCAAGGGAAACCAA